AAGATATAAAAAAGGTTATATGGGACAGAATTATTCGGTCTACAGTAACCCTAACCTTAACACACAATTTGTGATACCCAAGGTTATACTTTGACTTAGGGTTAGGGTTAGGGTTTTTGCATCATTCCTTGATATACGGAAATTCTGTGCATCAGTTGATGGTACACAGAAATATGTGCATCACTTCGTGATACCTAAGGTGCCTAAAGTGGATTTGCGCCCTAGTACTATCCCTACTTCATATTTTAGGCCAGAAGCTAATCCAAAATGCACCTGTACCTATACCCAACGATGTAGCTGAATGACATTTTCTTTACGATAAAGATGTGCATAACTTGACCGAAACTAGTGATGACGTATAACTTATAAGTTGTTGTGGCTAGAGACTATAGACTAGAGTCCTGTCTGAGTACAGAGTAGCCGGCGCCGGCGGCCGTACCATCCTGCCCAAGAATTAAATAAATGCTTACTTTGCGCCTTGCTCCACACAAGACTGTGACCGGATGCGGTTTTACTAGTCTCCTGTGGGTAGACGTGACCACCGGCATACTGATGGCAAGCTTCATCGGCTCCATAGCCAGAAAAAGACTGGATAAACAGCAAGAGGAGAAGAACAGCTGTACTTCTGGTGGCTGCCATCTTGAAGACGTGTCGAAGGGTCGCATACGCTCGCGTAAAAAATTAATTATACACTTTTTGCTTGCTTACTCTACAAAAATAATACAATAAGGTATATAATTACGCTATTGGTAACAAATTACAACTTATTATTATGAAAAAAAAATTTAAAGTCAATATCAAAATATAAACATGATATTGTCAAGTTTTTCACTAGACTGGGACCTGGTCCCACCTATCGGTTTAGGTATTACCCATCGAGTAATTGAGGTGGGAGCGAGTACCAGTCTAGTTTTTCACGGTTGATTAGTTGTGTCAGGTTATTTTGGTGGCCATGTGCTGTGCGCATTCATTGGACACGTCGATTTACAATAACCAATTGTAAGAGCTGTGACAATAATATATCTACGGGAAGCGACTGTGCTAATATTAGCTAATAATGCTATCTAAGCATCTGAAATTTGGCGTACCATTTCTCGTAAGAATTTTTTCGCCTATTTACTACTACTAGATTCACTCCTGCCACCAAGGTTATTTCCTCCACGTCTATTAATATGTTTATCATGTAAATGTAGTGAGTGAATAATGATACTAGTTAGTAGTAATACTAATAGCACACTCGTGACTATGTAGTGTACGTAACGTGTCTCAGTGACACTTAGCCACAAGTTCCCATCTCGCTTAACATCGCCGTGTAACTAGTCGGAGAGCCTGGTCGGTTTAAGTGACACTGAGTGACTGACTGTCTGACAGTCTCTGCACGCTCATTATCATACTCATACTCATAGTCATAGTCATAGTCATAGGGTCTATGTCTCCCAGGGTACTATCGGAGGGTACCCTGGGAACGGTTTGATATATCGGAAAGTACCCTGGTAACTATCTGATATGGTTAGGGAGTACTGAGTAGGCGTAGTACCTACGGTCCGGCATATTAGATAGTAGTACCAGGGTTCTCCAAGGGCACGGTATCGCCTGGCGGCGGCCGCCAGCCTATCGTCGAGCCCCGCCATTCTAAAATGCACCCGCCACGCTAAATATCATAGTCGCCATGCTGGTGTATACACAAGAAGTTCAAACACGTTGGTCTCGATGCTACGGGTACGGCAGTCCCACACAAAAGTACAAGCAGTCTCCCTATCCCTAACCCTAACACTAACTCTAAACCGACTCGGCTATCTTATATACGCGTGTTATAATACCAAAATGAATCTATGGTGTATAACCTTTTGCTTTCAATATTTTGCATCTGAACTGACAATCAATCCCAACCAACTGGTGACAGTACTGTACCAACTGGTACAGTGGTGTAGGCTAGCTGGCACAATAATGTTCATTTTCATACTTCAAATCCGAGTGTTTTTTAGCTCATCAAGAAATAATTATTTTGAATTTTCCGATGGCTTTGCCCATGCAAAACAAACATTTTCACCCCACATGCAGTGCTTCAAATTTACACACAGAGTGTCCCAGATTGCATCTCAGAGCTTCTACAATTCAAAAAATTTCCCCGGACCCGCCTAGCAGTGAGTAGCACCCCCATGCTATCATTTAAAAGCTTGGAGAACCCTGAGTACTACTAGTAGGCCTACCAGGGTACGTTCCGATATATCGAACCGTACCCAGGGTACCCTCCGATAGTACCCTGGAGGACATAGACCCTCTCAGCGACACTGACACTGACACTAGTTACTACGTCACGTGTCAGTGTCACTCTCACTGACAATGACAGCAACAGTGACCGTGACAGTGGCCGTCACTGACTGTTCGAGTGTCTCAGACACTGAGACAGGGATCAAGAATAGCGTGGGACCCCGCAAATGAAGTGATTTCGCACATGTGCTAGAATCCGGGGTGCTAATTAAGCTAGGCTTAGGCCCTCAGATAGTGTCTCTGAGTATTTGTACTGCAGGCAGTTCCTGAGGCTGAGGCACATGACTTGTGGTGCCATTTCATCAATAAACATTATTGTAAATAAACACCATTTGTATATACTACCACAGTCTCAATGTTTATGTTTACTCTCTATCACCTAATAATTCCACATAAATGCTGTTCAGGTGCCAGGTCCTAATCTAGCTGCTTAATACGGACACCCGTGGCGAGCGTAGCGAGCGTAAAAAATTATATATATATACTTACATATATCAGTGTCACAAAATTTGGCGTTTGGTCGACACATTTTATTCAGATAATTGTTTATAGATCTTACATTTTATTATAAAACTGCTTATATATAATGATAGAAACATGGGGAACTGCATCAGAGCTCTGCTAATTTGGGCGTTTTATGCATTTTTGTATTTGGGCGTTTTGCTAGGGGTCGTAATTTTGGCCCCGGTATTCGGTATGAAAAATGGCTTGGATTAGGCCCTGGGTGCTCTTCTGTAACACATTGTCTCATACAGCATGCACACCAGTGATCGTCCCAATCGGCAATCCTAGTTTAGCACCCTACTTGTATCATATGCGACAATGAGGGCCGGTGTCCAACACTATGATTGTGCAGTGTGGAGAATCCTTCTATACAGCAATGTAAATGGAAGTGACTGCCTGCTTATTGTCTGAAACTCCCTAACTTGCGCGATCATTGCTTTCGACACCTGACATCTTCAAAGGATACCGTTAGGTTTGGCTTCTTTGTTTCTGTCGTTCCGTATTGGAATTCTCTCCCTTCCTCTTTAGTTAATTGCAAATTTGAGGCTTTTTTCTACTGCGATACACAGTTTTGATCGGTCTATTTGCTCAACTTTGTCAGTTTCTGCCTTCGATATAGTCCCTTGGACTTTGAAGACTAATATTTATGAAGATGCAGTTAATCACTCTGGGGTTTGTTCTGAGGGAAAATTAGACAAAGGAGGTAATGGGCAGTTTGGGAAAAAAAACGTGCATGATGGATTCAAATACATGATGTATTGATATACTTATAGGTATATAGATACAGGATATACTTACCAGTTAATACAGTAACATTTTTACAATGGCGATGTTAAATTTGATAATGGCATTGCGCCACTGTGCCTCCTATGTATAAGAAACCCTGCACTCCACTCGATTGTATGGTCAATGAATTTAGTCATATGTGACATTATTTCTGTGCAAGTCATGCTGTGAAGCAGGGAGCGGTTGAACCCAGATTCTAGCCACGTTTACACGGAGCGATAAATTTGGTGTTTGGTGTTCACATGAGGCTAAAATGCGCGGTCCAACAAATACGGAATCCGGTTTTTCTTTTTTCTTTCCGGTTACAAAACAAACGGTTACGGAAACCGGAAAGAAACGGTAACAAATTACATATGCGGCTTCCCAGATGCGGAATTACTTCTCGTGCTGAGAAATTCCGAATCTCTTGGACCGCTTATTTCTCTCGTCTGAACGCAACTGAACGCAAATACGGCATTTCTGAAGCTGCGTATTTTATCGGCCGTTTCCCTATGTTCCGATTACTCACAGAGATTCCGTTGAGAGACATAAAATGTCCTCTCTCGCGACATAAAATAATCGTGATCATCTTGATCTTCGTTGTTCTGCGTAAAATTCATTAAAAAGCTGGATAAAATAGCGATATCATGGATATTCTCTTTGCGCATGGGCGCAGCCATGTTGAATCCGACACCACCAAGCGGATCGACAAGTAACTAAATACGGCATTTCTGAAGCCGCGAAACAGCGTGGGAACGCTCGGGTGGAGTAAAAGTCGCGAATTTGTCTCAGATTCGGTATCTCGCAAATACCGAATTTAATAAATACGGAGTCTCGTCTGAAACGCAGATTATATTGTCCTGCCATTACTCATGT